ATCAACAACAGCCCCCCTCCCCTCCTCCTCACATCACCCCTGTATTCGGGAGTAGAAACCACAGACTTCCTTCCTGCTTCGTCAGTTTGTTTTTCCAAACGCTGATACATGTCCGTTCACCCTTTTTCAGCATGTTGTGCATTAGCAAAACCCTCAGAGCAACATTCTCAATCCGCTGTGAGTTTTGTTTTTTGTTTTTAATTTTGTCCCCACTAGTTTCTCTCATTTATATAAAGCCTCCCTCCCTGTGTGTTTTTCCCCCCACCCGTCAGACTCCCTCGGGTTTGCTGCTGGCTCACAGTCCACTGTTGTCAGGCATCCACTTCTGGAGCAGCCTGAGCCCAGTCGCTCCGCTCAGCCCCGCCCGGCTGCAGGGCCACAGCTCCCTCTTTCAGGTAAGAAACACATACAGGTGTAGCGGAAGACAGAGGGACAAAAATAGCAGGAGATGAGAATAGAGGGTGTACTCAAAGGATTATTTACTGGTAGCGCTTTAAGCAGAGGAGGAAGTTGGCGAGGCTGCTGGGGCCAAATTAGTGCTTCTGCAAAAGCCTCATTGTTTCCAGCGGTTGATAAAAGAAAAGAGAGCAGAAGACCAGGGCAGGAAAAGCTTTTAGAGAGGGCGATTATGTGAGCTAGGTGAACCAAACTTTTTATTAAATGATTTCTAATGCTGCCCAAATGTTATGCAAGTATTTACCTAACAGGAAGCAAGAAAACTTTTTTTGTGTGTGTGTGAGTGTTATTTGCAAAGCAGCAGTCACAAAGGGTTGTGAAACTAGTTGAGACTCAGTAAGCAGGTCCTGCAGAGGTGTCCTGTTTCAGAGCTTGTGAGAGGGAGAGGAAATCCTGTGAATACTTCCTGTTTGAGCCCAGGGGAGCCAGTCTGAACAGGGTGGACTGGTTTGAGAGCTGCTCCTCATTTATGAAACACACACACACACATTATACCGGATTCATTGTGCGTAAATAAGACGACTTCTGTTGTAGAGTTGGAGGGGAGAGAGACAAGAAGGAAGCGGCACAATGAATTAAAAAAACAAAAAACAAAACAGGAAACCAGAGCAGTGACAATGCAACAGTTCCTTGCCGGAAAGCGGTTTTCATAGAGACTCCATCCCCTCCCCACTAACTCTGTCCCTTTCTCTTCCTCTGCAGTTCCCCAGCCTAATCAACGGACACATGCCTGTCCCCCTGCCAAACCTGGAAGGAACACCCTCCTCCCTGCTCCTGTCTCCCACCACTCACAAATCCTGATCCAGGATCTGTGGAAAATGCCGCAAATTCATCGTTCTCTTGTTGAAAGTTTCTCATCATCATAATAATCAGCAGCAGCAGCAGCGATCTCTTATTCATGATGTCAGATTTTGTCTCAGAAAAGCAGAGACAGTTATGTGACCTCACCTTTTTTTTCTCTTTTATTTTTGCACTTGACTTGCTTCAGATTCTGAGTGGTTGAAAGCACTTGGTAAAAGCCATACGCCACGATGTCTCAGAGACATCTGGCCTCTTTATGATAAAGAACAGCACGTTTCTACACTAGCCTGTCCGCGACGGACAGAAGCGCAGCTGCGAAAGGCTAACCAGCCGCTCGGCCTGCGCAGAGCCTGGTTCTTTTAATCTTTAGAAAAAAGAAAAGAAAAAAAGAAACAAGTCTACTTGTTAACAATGTGAAACTGATCGTTTCACTTAACGTGGTATTGTATGTAACGTATGCACTATGCTTCTCAGATAGTACCGGCTGTGCCTTGTTGTCCTGTTTTTGTTTTCACTTTATTTCAAAATCTTTTAATGAAGTCGAGATTTCAAATGAATGAAAACCTTGTAACACTTACGTTCTTGTTTTTTTGGTTTTTTTTATACTGGACTTGGTAATACAATATGTATTCTGTATATTTTTTTTGTATTGTGAAGAATGTCATTTTCAATAAACAAAGCATTGAATGCTTAAACAGAGTTGAAACTTTGTAGAGCAGCTGAAACAAACAAAAACAAACACTTTTGGTTTTAAACCTTTAGATTTATTTTTTCTTTACTCTGGAAAAAAAAACTGAAATATGGGAGGGCATCTGCAATGAAATCCCACACCAACAAAAATTATTCACAAATAAAGAATATCATACAAAACATGTCTTGTAACACTGTTAAATAAGGGCAGGACTATAGCTAACGCTTCCTGAATTAGGGGTTCGGTGGCTGTTGTGTGCTTCCTCATAGAAAAGAGCAGGCATGCACCACAATGACAGAGGAAAAAAAAAAAAGATCTACTTTTACAGATGAGGGAGATGGGAATGGCAGACAGGTAAACCATGGACAATGCACAAACAGGGCACTGCAGATTCCAACAGTGGGAGCTCATTTTTGCAGCTCCTCTTTGTAAGAGTGGAGAAAGAACGAGGACAGGAGGGTGATCAGTGTATTTCGTAGGTGTAACTATTCCTGTAATGCCCTAGTTGACAATCTGTGTTGCTCTTTCCCTCCTCTCTCTACTGCATTTGTTCATTGGTCACGTCAGAGACCGGAGCATCCCTGGAATGATATGCCAGCAAGTTGTTTGTTTTAAATGCACAGATCTACCAAGTTTTGTGTGCAAAAACATAATAATGTCAACAACAACAACAACAAAAAAGAAATCTCACATTAATCTCCGGCTGGGATAAAATGATTAGTTATTATATCAAAGCTGGCCTCGGAAAAACCTTCAGAGTAAATGGTCACATGTGATTTGTGCAGCTGAGTACAGCACCATGGCAACAGAGACAAGAATATGAAACCCCTTTGAGCTGCTACAGAAACCTCCCTCCGTCTGTGTGCCTCACACACCCACACGTCGTCCAGGAGCTTCGAGGTGGAGTTTTAATGTATGAAAATGGAAACGACGACCAATAAAAAAAAATATATATCACCCACTTCAAAAAAATCTATACACATTGCATGTTCTCATTAAAGTGACTGAGCCTGTTAGAATTCTAGACAGTAGTTGGATTTAGCAGCAAATTCACTTGTCAATAAATATAGATGTACAGTGTACAAATGTCTCTCTGGAGCCAGTTTCAGACTAAACTTGGGACGGGGTCAGACCGTGGAAAGCCCCCCCACCTCGCCAAAAAGAAAAAAAAAAAATTCTGGAGGGGGACTGAAGGTGACTACGACATTCCACGCCAACTCTCATCTCCGCGTTCTGATCCAGCGGCAAGACTGTACAGCCAGTATATCGTTCCCAAATAACTGTATCCAGTCCAGAGATTTTAAAACAGCATGCTTTGTCTTCTGCTTTTTCCATTGCCTGATGGGAAACAGAAAAATAAAGTCTTTAAATATCGATTCAGCTATTTTAAATGACAGAAATCTGCACTTTCCAACTATTCCGGGCTATTTGATAAGCAAATTGGAGTAAATCAATCCAAATAACAAGGTTAAAAAGTAACTTACTTATCACAGTGACTGCTATTTAACCTGTTCGGTGGGTTTGCCCACGAAGGAATAAACAATGGTATACACATTTCATTTTTAAATATCACCGTTATCGTGACATCTCTGCTTTGGTTGTATAAATCGCCAGGTTCCAGGTGCTCTGCGGTCATAAACAGGAAGTGTAATGTGGGCTACAACTTGAGCCTTTGTTAGCCTGTATGTGTTCACATTTCATGATCCTTCATAGATCTTTGCACTAGTTGTTTACAGTGTACAAATTTTACAAATACAGTGGTTTGTTTTGTTTTTTTAATTTACATGTGAGCATCAGTCTTTGAAGGACAGCATGAAATTTCAGGAAGTAGAATGTAACAAAATTTACAAGCACATGTTTAATTATACATGTGGCACTATGGCGGTTTAATATAGTTAATCCTCATAATGAGTTTATGCAGATTGTGGCAATTATGTTAAAGTATCTCAGCTTCCTCCATGAGCTGTGTCTATTTGGCCAATTGAGTGGGCCGTACTACAAAAACCTACGCTTGCACTTGTCTCTTTTCGCTCACTCGGTTTCTGTGCTTCCCACTTCCCCTCTTCTCGATTCTTTATTCCTCACCTGATTCGGGGTATGATGAGTTCCGATAGCCGGGATCTCTCTGCAGCTGCACCTCCTTCAGTGTGAATATGGATACGGCTGCCAAAGACACAGTCAGTCAGTGCAACAGAAGAAGAAGACGTGCCGGGTGAACAGTGTTTCTGTTACAAGGCTGTAAGTGATCCTCTCTGTACACTGCAATACCCTTCAAGTTGTACTGAGCGGATGGTGCCAAGTCTGCATTACTGCATCACCGTTTCATTACTCACTCTCTGGCAGCGTGTGCACACGTGGCCCCAGGCTCCTGAAGTATGGCTGCCTCATTGCTTCATCAGCAGAGATCCTCTTCTTCGATTCATACTGAAATTTAGGGCAACAAAAGTTTCAGCCATTAAAGAACAACAAAAGAACTGGCTCAGCAGCCTGCGGTCGCATGCAAATGTGTTGGCACGCCTTCGTGCGCTTCTTTCCAAATACACAGTCCTGACATAGCTGCGAAATGTGTCACATGTTTTTAGCGTCTCTTTAATTCCTGGCAGATATGGCGAGACTTACCTTTAGGAATGACATCAGCAGGTCGATTCCATCATTGTCCAACCTGTAGGTGTGGGGGAGGGGTGGGACAAGAGTTTGGAGGTGGAAAAAAGAAGAGGAGGGATGGGGGGGGTCAGTAAAGGTGGGCTGACTCATGGATAGAGGCGAGTGTTAAGGAAGTCAAACAGAGTCAACTATTCCACAGGATTTCCTTACAGGAAATGATAAAGAGCACACGCTCCTAACTACACAAACCTCCAACACTCATGTCTAACTAAAAGCTAAAACAGCTCTGCTTACAAGCTCTCCTCTTATATTTGTGTCACAAGAAACACTTTTCCACCTCCAGTCATCAGACAACCAGGCAAGAAAGGTGAATGGAGGGGTAACGGTAAGGTTTATATAACTGCTCCATAAATACCTGAAACAACCAGCAGCAACACAGCCTAAGCTGGGACATGTTGCATCTGGTGTAGAAGTAAAGTTATTAAGATAAAATGAGAGAAAAAAGTATCAGGCTTACCTGGGGGCATGATTAATGAGGGACTGTGCTTTGTACTTGTGGAACTTGTAGGACTTGAACTCATCAATGGAGGATATTCCAGGCCAGCTGTCTTCTGTAGGAGTGCCTGTGGAGGGACATTTAATAGACCTTGTTAGAGCCCGCGTCAGCTGGATGGCTTTTTCATGGAGCCGCGGAGGGGGGACGGGGCTACATGCCAGGGTTAATGCGATTAAAGGCTCTGGTTAAAAGTCTGAACGCTCCTCTGTCAGCAGAGGGCAGCACTCACCTAGCAGCCTGAAGATGAGGTGCAGCTCATCCTCCACTGTGGAGCCCGGGAACAGCGGCCTGCCTGCAGCCATCTCATAGAATATACAGCCCACACCCCTGACAGAATGACACAAACAGGTGGGAAAGGTCACAAAGATGCGTCTGACTGAAGCTTAAACAGCAGCCTGACTCAACAGGTGTTCCATCTCTAAACCAACCCTGATGTTTCTCTCAATTGGAGATCGGAGAAACCATTTACAGCTGCATTGTCTTAACAGCGAGGTTTTGTCCATCAGCAGCAAAGTCTCTTTACACCCGCGCGCTAATAAGGGCGCAAACTAAACGAAATGAGCTCCAGACACCTGTGCCCGTTCCACAAATCACTGAAGTGGCAATTTCACGACAGAAAACCAATCTGAGAGGATCGCATCGGCCTGCGCCGTCGCTGTGCAGCCATACGGAAATAAGAGAGTAACCACGAGCATCGTTAGCGTTTCCTAATAGTTGCAATCCCCCCCCGTCGAGCGAGGCCCACTCACCACATGTCGATCTGTGTGGAGTACTCGGAGGAGCCGAGCAGCACGTCGGGGGGCCGATACCAAAGAGTTACCACCTCGTTAGAGTACGTTTTAGTGGGCACAGACTTCGCCCTCGCCAGGCCTGTGGAGCAGAAATATGGACATATTGGAAAAATGTCATGAAATTCATACAAAGGAAGCTATTTAGAATACTCCAAATATTCATCGGTTTAAAAAAAAAATTGCTCTGTAGAAACATTTTAATGTAATGTATTGATTTTTTACCAAAGTCAGCCAGTTTTAGTTCTCCTCTGTCATTGATGAGCAGATTTTGGGGCTTCAGGTCTCTGTGGAGAACTTTCCGCCTGTGACAGTAGGCCAAGCCTCGCAGGATCTGGAAGAGGAAAATCTAAAGGAAGAGATTTTCTCGATCAGTACGTATGATCGTGTTGATAAAGTTATTATAAAATAGTGGTGATCGAGCCTTGCTGCGTGTGGGAAGTTGGAGGCCAATCACTCACACACATTTTGGTCATGTGCCAAAATACGACGCGCTGATACGAGATCACCAACAGTACTGAGGTCTTGTATTTCTGTCTACTTAATGAGGATGTGGTTAACAAAAAAAAAGCGACTGGTAACTGAAATTACTGTTAGCCAGGAAGAAAACAATTAGAAAAAAATTCACAAAAACCAGAATCACCAGGCCTCAAACGATGGATCCGCACCATCAGTATTATCTATGCGATGGAACAGGTGACCTTTAGCCTAAGCTCGCTTTACTTAAAAGTGCGAGACTTCATAATACATCAAGTAAAATTATATGGACCCAAATATATATGTATGCTTAGTTG